AGAAACCCTCCTCTCAGGTGTACAGACACCGTTTGCCACGGGAAAAACACGTTCCTGCGCCCAAACCCCAAACCCTAAACCCTATACCCTATACCCTAGCACTAGCCCTAGCCCTGAAACCCCAAACCCTAAACCCTAAACCCTAAACCCTAGCCCTAGCCCTAGCCCTGAAACCCCAAACCCTAGGCGCTAAACCCTAAACCCTAGCCCTAGTCCTAGCCCTGAAACCCCAAACCCTAAACCCTAAACCCTAAACCCTAGCCCTAGCCCTAAACCCTAGGTTCGAGACACTGCATTCGAAGCCCGGGACTTGAAGCCCTGACCACTCAGTTCTCAGCCCTAAACCCTAAACCCTTGAGCCTGGGCCCTAAACCCTAAACCCTGAAGTCTGAGACCTAAACCCTAAACCCTGAATCTTAGCCCTAAACCCTAAACCCTAATTTCTGAGGCCTAAGCCTCTGCCCCGATAAATGAAACCGGAAATTTGAGGGTCTGCACTCTGGGCTGGAAGCCCGGAACCTTAAACCCTAAACCCTAAACCCTAAACCCTAAACCCTAAACCCTAAATTCTGGGCCCCGGACCCCAAGCATAGGCCTTAAGACCCAAACCCTAAACCCTAAACCCTAAACCCTAATGCCTCATTCCTGAAACTGCTCCACGCCACAGAGCACGCGGAGGCGCAGCCAGAGGACAAAAGCCAACCCCAAACCCTAAACCCTAAACCCTAAACCCTAAACCCTAAACCCTAAACCCTAAACCCTAGGGTGGTGAGCCAACCTGGGGGATTTGGGAGGCGTCAAAAGGACGCGTGACAAAAAGAGAGACATCTTGACCACGGCCGAGGGTTTAGGGTTTAGGGTTTAGGGTCTAGGGTTTGCGAGGGCGCGGTGTTTAGCGTCTAGGGTTTAGGGTTTGGAAGCCACGGCACTGGCCCCTCAGGGCCCTCCTTCGAGGGACTCCGCCGGCCATTCTGTTCTCACTGCTGCTGCTGCTGCTGCTGCTGCTGCTGCTGCTGTTGCTGCTGCTGCTGCTGCCGTTTCTGCTGCTCTCGATGCAGTTCCTGCTGCTGCCAGTGCTGCTGTTACTGCTCTTGCTGTTCTTGCTGCTGCTGCTGCTGCGGTGCTGTTGCCGCTGCTGCCGCTGCTGCTGTGACCGCTGCTGCTGCTGCTGCTGCTGCTGCTGCTGCTGCAGTCGCTAGCAGCACACCTGGGGGCAGCAGCGCAAAGTCTCTTTAAAAGGAGGTTTGCTGCAGCTTTTTGAAGTGAAGCAAATTCCTAAACCCTAAACCCTAAACCCTAGACCCGGGGTTGTAAACCCTAGATCCCGGGGCCCCCGGAACTGGGGCTGGAAGCCTGGTCTTGCGGGGCCTGCGAGGGTTTAGGGTTTAGGGTTTAGGGTTTAGTGTTTAGCAGTGCAATATGCGTTGTTGTTTGTTTAAACCCTAATTGTAGGCTCAGGAAGACTGTGGGCCCGGGCCTCTTTCGCTTCCAAACCCTAAACCCTAAACCCTAAACCCTAAACCCGCGGATACACAGAAGGATGTCTCCTTGCAGCGGTGTTGTCGCTCCCTAGGGTTTAGTAGGCGAACTTCAAACCCTAAACCCTCAACCCCCAACCCCAAACCCTAAACCCTAAACCCTAGCATGGCAGCAAAGCCTGACCATGGTGCACGAAGGGCCTGAAGAGGGGCCCAAGGGGGCCCCCGATACTAAGCAGCAGCAGCAGCAGCAGCAGCAGCAGCTGCTGCTGCTGCAGCAGCAGCAGCAACAGCAGCAGCAGCAGCTGCTGCTGCTGCACTCGCAGGGAGCAGCTTCGGGGGCCTGTGAGCCTTCTGCGGTGTATGGGGACCCCAGTGAGGGCACAGACACTCGCAGCAGCAGCAGCAGCAGCAGCAGCAGCAGCAGCAGCAAATGCAGCGGCAATTCCAGCAGCAGCAGCAGCAACAGCAGCAGCAGCAGCGGGGACCTCCATGTGGGAAGGGCCCCCTCCCGTAGGGAGCATCAGGGCAGACGCCGGGGGCCCCCATTAGGGGCCCCCAACAGCAACAGCAGCAGCAGCAGCAGCAGCAGCAGCAGCAGTTGCTGCAGCAGCAGCGTGCAAGAGCCTTCTTCAGCAGGGCTCACTAGCAGCAGCATCAGCAGCAGCTGCTGCAACGGCAGCAGCAGCAGCAGCAGCAGCAGCAGGAAGATGCTGCGGGATTCGAAGCCCCCAGCTGTTATGGGGGCCCCCCCGGGGGGCGTTTTGTCCCTGCGGGGGCCCCCCTTGGGCCCATTCCGGGGCCCCCCTGCTGCGGGTTTGTACCCTGCTGGGGGCCCCCCGGGGCCCCTCCCGGGGCCCCTGCCGGGGGCCCCCCGTTGCCCCCCTTTGTCTCCGGGGTCTTCCTTGGGGCCCCCCGGGGGCCCCCCGGAGGGGCCCCCGTTGGGCCCCCCCTTGGGGCCCCCCTTGGGGCCCCCCCTGGGGCCCGCTGGGGCCCCCGTGTGTGCTGCAGCAAGGGGTGGGGGCCCCCGGGGGCCCCCCCCTGCCAACAGCCCCCCCTCGCCCTCATCCCTGGGGCCCCCCAGCCCCCCTC